GCAATCAGCGACTTATAGCGGGACTTCGGCAGACATTCTGACACTGGGGGGAACTGACTTGGTGACACTGACATCCCCAGTGACACTAATACAGTGATCAGTGCTAATAAAAAGCACTGACACTACTAATGGCACTGGGCAGGAAGGGGTTAACATGTGGGGAGATCAAAGGTTTAAAATGTGTGCTGTGTGTGTTTTACTAGGGGACTGTGTGTTTGTGCTTCACTGTAAGCACACTGCTTTGCATGGCTCTGCTATGCACAGCCATGCAAACCAGTGTGCAGGAGCTGACATGGGAGAGAATGTTTTGTTTACAAACAGTTCTCTCCCCCATCGGAGATGCTCGGCAATCACTGGGCACTTGACAGCTGCAAATGGTGACTCAAGTAGGGCGCGTGCCTTGCGTGCGCCCCCTAACTGGAAATGTCAAATCACGTATATATACGTGATTTTGCGCACCCATGCCGCCTTGTAGCAGTACTTCTGCTATAGGGTGGACGGAAAGCTGTTAAAGGAACACTTTGAAAACACATCAGTTCTCAATGGGGAAAAATATCATGCTGGATATCTATACGAATATGGACTGGGTGATGTGTTAGGAATGTAAGGATGCCCCATCGTTTTGATGGAATTTAAAATTATCAACTTACAGAGGACTGAATTCAAAGACACCCTGAAAATCAAAGTGAAAAAATTATGCAGCAGGCTAGTCCATTTCATTGCAGAAACTCAAATGGTACTCAGTAGTTCGTATGGCCCCCATGTGCTTGTATGCATGCCTGACAACCTGGGGGCATGCTCCTAATGAGATGACAGTTGGTGTCCTGGGGTATTTCCTTCCAGATGTGGACCAGGACATCGCTGAGCTCCTGGACAGTCTGAGGTGCAACCTGGTGGCGTCGGATGGACTGAAACATGATATCCCAGAGGTGTTCTATTGGGTTTAGGTCAGGAGAGTGTGGGGGCCATTCATTGGTATCAATTCCTTCATCCTCCAGGAACTGCCTGCATACTTTCGCCACATGAGGCCATGCATTGTAGTGCACCAGGAGGAACCCAGGACCCATTGCACCAGTCTAGGGTCTGACAATGGGTCCAAGGATTTCATACTGATACCTAATGGCAGTCAGGGTGCCATTGTCTAGCCTGTAGAGGTCTGTGCATCCCTCCATGGATATGCCTTCCCAGACCATCACTGACCCACCATCAAAACGATCATGCTAAACAATGTTACAGGCAGCATAACATTCTCCATGGCTTCTCCAGACCCTTTCACGTCTGTCACATGTGCTCAAGGTGAACCTGCTGTCATCTGTGAAAAGCACAGGGCGCCAGCGATGGACCTGCCAATTCTGGTGTCCAATGGCAAATGCCAATTGAGCTCTATGGTGTCGGGCAGTGAGCACAGGGCCCACTAGAGGACTTCGGGGCCTCAGACCACCCTCATGAAGTCTGTTTCTGATTGGTCAGAGACATTCACACCAGGGGCCTGCTGGAGGTCATTTTGTAGGGCTCTGGTAGTGCTCATTCTGTTCCTCCTTGCACAAAGGAGCAGATACCAGTCCTGCTGATGGGATAAGGACCTTCTACGACCCTATCCAGCTCTCCTAGAGTAACTGTCTGTCTTCTAAAATCTCCTCCATGCTCTTGAGACTGTGCTGGGAGACACAGCAAACCTTCTGGCAATGGCACGTATTGATGTGCCATCCATGAGGAGTTGGACTGCCTGTGCAACCTCTATAGGGTCCAGCTATCGCCTCATACTACCAGTAGTGACACTGACCCTAGCCAAATGCAAAACTAGTGAAAAAGAGTCAGAAAAAATGAGTAGGGAAAAAATTGTCAGTGACCTCCACCTGTAAAACCATTCCTGTTTTGGGGGTCGTCTCATTGTTGCCAATCTAGTGCACCTGCTGTTAATTTCATTAACATCAAAGCAGCTGAAACTGATTAACAGCCCACTCTGCTACTTAACTGACCAGATCAATATCCCAGGAGTTTAACACCTTCCCGCTCAGCCTATAGCAGATTGATGGCCAGGTGGGACACTCCTCATTGTGACTGGTCGTCATATGATGTCCTGTCAGAAGGAGCCATTCACCCAGTCGTGGGGCCACGCAGTGGCACGATCTGTCAGTGGCTGTGTCCACGGATAGAGCCAATGACATCACTACACCAGCCCCCGTTGCCAGTGTCATGTGACCGCTGTGACTAATCACAGCTGATCACATGTCAATTGTATACAATGGATGGCTTCCTGTCATGCCATCCATTGTCTACAATTGAGTTAATAGCTGTGATTGGTCAAAGCAGTCACATGGTACAGATGGGGCCAATCACAGCCCATCTGTATCATGTGATGAGCTTTGCTCAATCACAGCTAATCACAACAAAAAACTGAATGAATCAGTTTCATTCAGTAACAATGATTGCAAATATCAATTAAATACATTGGTATTAGCAATTATAATGTGCTCAGAGTAGTTCAGAGTTACTATGGTAACATTGTTTTGCTTTGGTCACAGTGTGTTGAGAAAAATTAGTAGAAAAAAATAGTGTAATAAAAAATAAAATAAAAAAATTAAATATATTACTTATTTTTTTTTTACATACTGTCACCAGTCAGTGTCCCTGATCACCGCCACACCAGTTATATAATAAAGCTGTACTGGACTGGTGACAATACAGTATGTATAAAAAGAAGTGATTTTTTTTTTATTTCTACATTTTTTTCCAAAAATTGGAACAAAATATTACAACCTCCAAAAAACTCACCATGCCTCTTACTAAATACCTTGGACTTTCTATTTTCCAAAAAATGGGTAATTTGGGGGGTATTTGCCCAGTTTCGGGCTTCAAGAAATGAGATGAGCTGTCAGAACATCAGGATTGATTGATTGTCAGATATATACTGTATACCATGGTTTGTGAACTCTATAACTTTCCTACAGACTAAATAATATACAGTAGCAAGAAAAAGTATGTGAACCTCTTAAGATTACGTGGAGTTTTGCATGAATTGGGCATAAAATGTGCTCTGAACGTCATCTAAGTCACAACAATAGAAGAACACAGTCTGCTGAAGATAATACTACACAAACATTAGATGTTGCCATGGTTTAATTGCACATAACATGTAAACATTCACAGTGCAGGGAGGAAAAAGTATGTGAACCTTTGGATTTAATAATTGGTTGACCCTCCTTTGGCAGCAATAACCTCAACCAAACGTTTCCTGTAGTTGCAGATCAGACCTGCACAACGATCTGGAGTAATTTTGGACCACTCCTCTTCACAAAACTGTTTCAGTGTAGCAATATTCTTGGGATGTCTGGTGTGAATCGCTCTCTTAAGGTCATGCCACAGCATTTCAATCGGGTTGAGGTCAGGACTCTGACTGGGCCACTCCAGAAGGCGTATTCTGTGCTGTTGCAGCCATTGTTTTGTTGAATTACTTGTATGCTTTGGGTCATTGTCCTGTTGCATCACCCATCCTCTGCGGAGCTTCAGTTGGCAGAAAGATGGTCATACGTTTTCCTGCAAAATGTCTTGATAAACTCTGGAATTCATTTTCCCATCAATGACAACAATCCGTCCAGGCCCTGAGGCAGCAAAGCAGCCCCAAACCATGATGCTCCCTCCGCCATGCTTTACAGTGGGGATGAGATTTTGATGTTGGTGTGCTGTGCCTTTTTTTCTCCACACATAGTGTTGTGTGTTCTTCCCAAACAACTCAATCTTGGTTTCATCTGTCCACAGTATATTTTGCCAGTAGTGCTGTGGAACATCCAGGTGCTCTTTTGCAAACTTCAAACGTACTGCAATATTCTTTTTGGACAGCAATGGCTTCCTCCGTGGTGTCCTCCCATGTACTCCATTCTTGTTTAATGTTTTCCTTATTGTAGATGTGTCAACAAAAATGTTAGCATGTGCCAGAGATTTCTGTAGGTCTTTAGCTGACACTCTGGGATTCTTCTTTACCTCATGCAGCATTCTGCGCTGTGCTCTTGCAGTCATTTTTACAGGACGAGTAGGGAGAGTAGCTAAACTTTCTCCATTTGTAGACAGTCTGTCTTACCGTGGACACATGAACATCAAGGCTTTTGGAGATACTTTTGTAACCCTTTCCAGCTACATGCAAGTCAAAACAATTCTTGATCGTAGGTCTTCTGAGAGCTCTTTTCTGCGAGGCATGGTTCTCATCAAACAGTGCTTCTTGAAACCAGTAAACCCAAAACAGGTGTGTGTTTTTTTAAGGGCAGGACAGCTGTCAGCAACACATCCAATATCATCACACTGATTGGAGTCAAGGTTGGCTCACTCCTGGCTCCAATTAGCTCTGGGAGACTTAATTAACCACTTGCCTACCAGGCACTTATACCTCCTTATTTACCAGGCCAATTTTCAGCTTTCAGCGCTGCTGCACTTTGATTGAAAATTGCGCGGTCATGCAACATTGTACCCATATGAAATTTTGATCATTTTTTTCTCACAAATAGAGCTTTCTTTTGGTGGTATTTAATCGCCACTGGGCGCTTTACTTTTTGTGCTATAAATAAAAAAAGTGCAAAAAATTTGAAGAAAAAAAAAAGTTTCTTTGTTTCTATTATAAAATTTTTCAAACAGGTATTTTTTCTCCTTCACTGATGTGCGTTGATGAGGCAGCACTGATGGGCACTGATAGGCGGCACTGATGGGCACTGATAGGCAGCACTAAAGGGCACTGATAGGCAGTACTAATGAGGTGGCACGGATAGGCGGCACTGATAGACAGCACTAATGAGGTGTCACAGATAGGCGGCACTAATATGCAGCACTGATAGGCGGCACTGATAGGTGACACTGATGATGGGTACTGATAGACGACACTGACTGGCATCACTGCTTGGCACTGACTGGCGGCACTGACTGGCACAACCCCTGGGCACTGACTGGTGGCACTGACTGGCAGCACTGCTGGGCTGCACTGGTGGGTGGCACTGGTGGGCAGCACTGGTGGGTGTGCACAGGTGGGTGGCACTGGTGGGCACAGGTGGGTGGCACTGCTGGGCACAGGTAGGTGGCACTTCTGGGCACAGGTAGGTGGCACTGCAGAGTGGCACAGGTGGGTGCACTGATGGGCACAGGTGGGTGCACTGCTGGGCACAGGTGGGTGATCTGCTGGGCACAGGTGGGCGGAGCTAGTGGGTGCACTGCTGGGCACAGGTGGGCGGAACTTGCAGGTGGCACTGCTGGGCACCGATCATCAGGGCACTGATCATCAGTGCCCTGATGATCGGTGCCGATCCCCGCTCTGACAACTGCCGGTTCTCGGCAGTACTTTCCTCACGATCTGACAGCGTGAGGAAAGTGCAGCCGAGAACCGGCACTTGCATTTCCCTCTGATCAGCGTGTCATTGGACACCGCTGATCATGTGGTAAAAGGCTGCTGTGATTGGCCTTTTACCACATCACGTGATCAGCTGTGTCCGTAGGACACAGCGATCACGGAGATCGCCGGGTGCGCGCCCCCTGGAGCGCGCAGGAGAGCGCGTTCTGGGAGGACGTCATATGACGTCCACTCAGAACTGGCCGGCCGCAGTGCAGCCGTCATTCGGCTATCTGCGGTCGGCAGCTAGTTAAGTTAGGGCCTCATATACTTTTTCCTCCCTGCACTGTGAATGTTTACATGTTATGTGCAATTAAACCATGGCAACATCTAATGTTTGTGTAGTATTATGTTCAGCAGACTGTGTTCTTCTATTGTTGTGACTTAGATGACGTTCAGAGCACATTTTATGCCCAATTCATGCAAAACTCCACGTAATCCCAAGGGGTTCACATACTTTTTCTTGCAACTGTACACTAATTTGGGGTATTTTCATCAAAGAAATGTAGCAGAATACATTTTGACCTAAATTTATGAAGAAATGCTATTTATTTGCAAAATTTTATAACAGAAACAAAGAAAAATGAATTTTTTTTCAAAGGTTTCAGGATTTTTTAGCAAAAAATAAAAAACTCAGTGGTGATTAAATACCACCAAAAGAAAGCTCTATTTGTATGAAAAAAATGTTAACATTTTTTATGGGTACAGTGTTGCATGACCGCACAATTGTGACAACACTGAAAGCTGAAAATTGGCCTGGGCAGGAAGGAGGTAAAAATGCCCCATATTGAAGTGGTTATTAATTGATTTGATGCTATACTCTGATTAAAAAGTGTTCTTTAAATTTCTTTTGAGCAGTGTATTTACAGGTCATGGGGTTACCTAGGCTTGCTTACACATGCAGTCTGATAATAATAGATGGTTGCAATGAGGTTTAACCACTTGATTTCTGGAGTATTTTACCCCCTTCATAACCTGGCCATTTTTTTTGCTATTCAGCCCTATGCAATTTTGGCAATAGGGTTGCCTCCTCATCCTTTTAAAACTAAACACATATTATTTACATAGGTTCTGAGACTAATTTAATACAGATAAGGCACTAAATGAGTTTAATTACCACTCTTTTCAGCCACAGAACCTGTGTAATTAAAGCAGAGCTCCACCCAAAAGAGGAGGTTCCGCTTTAAGGACTGCTCCCCCACTCCCCATTAAGAATTGGCACCTTTGGGGAGTGTGCAAATGTTCCATAAATAAACCACAGAGAATTTCATATTAAAATAAATATAAAAATAAAAAACTAGATAATATATGATGTGAAAAAGATCAACAGTACTGTCCCAAGTGCAACTAAGCAGATAAAGTTCCAGCAGAAACAGCTATACTCTCCTTCAATATAAAGATAGGATCTTTGCAGTTGAGCTGTGAGCCTGTGTGGCTGCAAGGCTGTGAGGGATACTCCCTCCTTTAATCCGCTCCTTAATCCAATGCCTTTCCTCGTATGTCTCATGCAAAAAAAAGATAAAGAATATGGTGCCTTATCCCAGGGATAAAAACAGCTTTAATGTGCTTCCATAATGCACTGACATGTAACATAACATTGCGCTTTGGGTATGTCAATAGCCATAGCTGGCAGTAGAAAACAAAGCAGATGGTGTGTGTCCTCACACCTTCAGTACTTGCCTTGTAGTAGATAAGATATGCTGTGATGTCACTGCCCCTCCCCAACGCATTGCGCTGCAGGGATTACGTAGCTTTGTCCGGGATCATCCCCTGGCTCCAGGGCTTTCTCGTGCTGTCCTATCCCACCGGGGAACCCAAGAATGCAGCCAGAAGTTCTGCCGGCTGACCATAGAGTTGATCGGAGACTGGAATGGCTCCAAGCATCTCTATAGTCTAAAAAAAACAGAAGCTATGAGCGTTTCATCATTTCAGTTTTACTGGATATAAGCAACACCATTTTAAAATTGGGAAAGCATCTGATCACACTGATCTTGGTGATCAGATGCTTTAAGGGCAGAGGAGAGATCTAGAGTCTAATAGACCCCAGATTTCTCAGAAAAGAGTACCTGTCACTGCCTATTGCTGTCACAGGAAATATTTATATTTGCTGTGATAACAATAAAAGTGTTTAAAAAAAAAATTAAAGGGACAGTGTAAAAATAAAAAAAAACAGAATTATTAATTTAACCACCTCAATACTGGGCACTTTCACCAAGTTTCAGTTTTCAGGACTGTCGCACTTTGAATAATAATTACTCAGAGTCATGCAATACTGTACCCATATGTAATTGTTATTTTTTGAGACAGATACAGCCTTCTTTTGGTGATATTTGATAACCACTTTTTTTTTTTACTTTTTTGTGCTATAAACGAAAAAAGACTGAAAATTTGGGGGGGGGTGTTTTTCTTAGTTTCTGTTATAAAATTTTGCAAATAAGTAATTTTTCTTCATAAATTTTAATAAGAGTTTATACTGCTACATTTATTTGGTAAAAATACCCCAAATCAGTGTATATTATTTGGTCTGTGAGAATGGTATAGAGTCTACAAGCTATGGTACCAATCATTGACAATTGATCACACTTGATGTAATGATGGCCTATCTCTATTTCTTGAGGCCCAAACATGCCAGGACAGCACAAATACCTCCCAAATGACCCTTTTTGGAAAGTAGACAGTCCAAGGTATTTAGCAAGAGGCATAATGAGCTTTTTAAGTTGTAATTTTGTTCCACAATTCTTTGGAAAATGAAGACATTATATAAAATGTGGTTGTTCTCCAGAAAAATGTCATAATAACAAATTATTTCTCACATAGGCATACTTGCAGCTAAACCCAAAACACATTCTGCTAATCCTCCTGAGCATGGCGATACCCCTTGTATGAGATTTTTTCACAGCCTAGCCACATAAAGAGGCCCAAAAACCAAGGATAACCTTCAGGCGTTATCCACTTTAGGACCAGACAGCCTTCTGACACTTTTTGTTTACGAGTAAAAATCAGTATTTTTTTGCTAGAACTTTGAACACCCAAACATTATCTATTTTTTAGGAGAGGCCATAGAGAATAAAATAGTGTGTTTTGCAAATTTCTTTGTCACATGTTATTTGTGCAGCGTTTTTTAATGCAATTTTACACACTAATGCAAAAATACACTTTAATATACTTTAATGCACACAAGCACAATATAATACCAATTATTTTTGTGAAATATAATATATGGTGTTGCACCGAGTAAATAGATACAAAACATGCCATGGTTTAAAATTGCGCACACTTGTGAAATGGCGCCAAACTTTGGTAATTAAAAATCTCCATGGACAACGTTTTTTAAGCCTTTACTTGTTACCAGATTAGAGTTACAGAGGAGGTCTGGTGCTAGAATTATTTCTCTCACTCTGACGTTCGCAGCAATACATGTGTGGTGCGATCACCATTTACATATGCGTACAGGACCAATGCATGTGTTCACCTTTGTACACGAGGATGGGGGGAGGGTGGCATTTTAAATATTATTATTTATTGGTGGGACACTGGTACACTGACAGATGTTTCTGTGCATTTGTACATTGTGACAGATGTTGATCGCCCACTGGTGGACACAGACAGATGTTGATGTTGTGATTGGAACACAATTGCAGTTGTTTTGTGCACTGGTACACTGACAGATGTTGATGTGACACTGGTATACTTTGACAGATGTTTTGTGCACTGGTACAGATGTTTATGTAACACTGGCACAGATATTGATGCAATACTTGGATAGGGACAGGTTGTGCTTCATGTACTGTGTGGGGATGGCAGCAATCTGTGTGTTCTTTGCATAGCTGAACACTAAAATTATCAGCTATGCAGAAAGCTATCACAGACTTGCAGTATCCCCCTCTGCCCCCCATACTGAGCCCTCACTGAGCTCGGCAGGTTAAGCTGAATGATTTCCGACAGACACAGCTGTCACCGGAGCACGCTGGTGCACCCCCCCCCCCCCCGAGGCTGCACAAGGCGCATGTTCTGAGAGAATGTTCAGGAACGTCCTCTCAGAATGGGAAAGTTCTCACCTGGCCGTTTATGTGCAGTTGTCGCAGTTAAAAAAAAAATCACCATCAACCCTCCCCCCCTTTGCTCACACGCAAAGGCCAAAGCAATCTTCGGTCCAGTGTCAGAGATTTTGCCATGCATGTGAGGTATCACCATGAATGTCAGATCAAAGACAGTAATTCTAGCACTAGAACTACTGTGTAAGTCTTAAGTGGTAACCTGTAAAGGCTTTTAAAGCATTGCCTATGGATATTGAATATTTACACTTTGTCGCTTTTGCATGGGAGTGTACAATTTTAAATCATGTCATGTCTGGTATCCATTCAGGCTGGGTACACTCCTATGTGGGTTGCGTTTGAGCCATTTCTGCACTGCGTTTTGTGTTGTGTTTTTGCACTTGCGTTTTTGCCGCTATTTTTATGCATTTTGCATTTTTATTTTTCTTGTTGCTAGGCAGATTTAAAATGCAAAACGCATCAAAAACATTCCAAAAATGCCGCAAAAACACAATACATAGTTTTCTGCAGCATTTCCATTGAAGTCTATAGAACCAAAAACACAACTTTTTGCGTTCAAAAAAAGTCCCTGACCTTTTCCAAAAAATGCACCTGGTGAAAACTCTCAGATATGAACATGTCCCATAGGAAATCATGTTAAATGGACTGTACTGTGTTTTTGCAAAATGCTACAGAAAACGCTTAGGTGTGAACCTAGGGTTACTTGGCATAACATTCTTTTTTATATTTTATCAAACAATTGTGCAATATATTGTGTTTTTCTGCATTAAAATTCAAAAAACTGTATTTTTTCTAAAATATTTGTGTTTGAAAAATCGCTTGCGCAAATACCATTTGACATAAAAAATTACTTTCCAAAAAGTCATTTGGGGGGGTGTTTGTACTATCCTGGCATTTTAGGGCCTCCGAAACTGATAGGTAGTGAGGAAGTGATGTGAGGAAATATTCCCTT